CGCTGCCATCCCGGGGGTGAGTAGTGACCGGCGCCGGGGGCTGCCCGGGTCGGACAGGTCGGGGAAGCCTTTCTGCGCTGTAGGACGGACCCTGCTGCAGAGCTGAAGTTTGGTTTTAGGTATTTTACTCTTGTTCAGAATATGCGGTGCTTCAAAGCTGGCAAAGTGATAACCTGTTCTACCTGATGCAAATAGCTACAGGTTGTGTCAACTCTGATCAGGTGAAGAGAATATTTAATAAACACGGGATAATGTGGAACATCAGAAAGGCATGACTGCCTGTAGTATTGAATGTATCAAAAGTTCAAAGCCATATCCTTAAAAGCAGATTTCCTTGCAGATACTTACTGTCTTACATGCAGCCGAATAAAAAAATCACACCAAAGGTATAAGTATCTTAGGTTTTGTACAAATAATCAAATGTGTATTCTTTATTGACCAAGGAACTGTGTAAAAAAAGAATTCAGATAACGTTTTAAACCACTAGTGGTTTTCACACAGTGCATTGTGCAACAGAGTTGCAAGTTCTCTGAAGTTAGTAGCTTTTTCTGTTTCATATGCATCTGACAGTATCCTCATCTACTGATCCAGGTGGGACAGCCTAAATCACTCAAAAAAGTTGTAAAAAATCTGTCTGACAATTCATAATACAGCCATTTTATATCAGACCATGTTCTTGTCTGTAAAACCATCAATCTACTCCCAAAAAAACACGGGGAGTTTCTGCTCCAGAAAACACTCAAATACCTGATACAAAGAAGAGAACAGCCGCCTTTTGCTTTTTTTTAGTGGTGCTGGCATATGCGTTATATGTTCAGGGAAGCAGGACTACCTTCCCTTTCCCTAAACTTCATTTTCTTTTGAATTGACAAACACCACTAAAGTAATTCTGAGGTGTCATTGCAAAAAGACATGATTGTGTTGCTCTGTAAATTTACTCTCAAACAAGCCATTTTTGGCTTGTTTTAAAAGGTTTTAAGAGGTTTTAAAAAAGAAACAACTGACAATCCCAAACAAACCCCTCACCAAACCTTTCAGGCCACAGTTGATCACCCTTAACTGACTGATTGATCTTCTCTATTAAGAAAGAAGTCAGGCTTGCTTAACTCCTGGTTACAACTCCTTACATAAAAAATATGATTAATTATGAGCATAAAACATGCCTAAGACCATCTCTATGTGCAGTTTTGCAGTGGTAGGGAGTGGTTTTGTGGCAACAGGTTCAAGAGTCTGTAAATTGGAGTGATTCAGAAATTAATTATCTGGTACATGAATTAAAGTAAATACTAGTTTGAACATGAAGTTAAATGCCTCATTGTGCAATCCAGCAAGTGTTGTTTCAGTGACGTAGGAAATGGAGAACTAGTACCTTTATTTTTTTTAAACATGTGCTTTATTATTTGGAAGTCTCATACATCTGAAGTACCATTATAAGGAGCACCTGTAGGAAAATCAAACCTAGAAGCATGCATTTGAAAGTAAGGATTGTCTGTTATTAATGAAATATTTCAAAGACATTGAAAATAAGCCTCTTTTCTTAGCTTTACAGGATTGTTCCACAAAAATGCACATTAACCTTATCACAGTACATACAAATATTGTGGATGGACAATAGAAATCACCACCCTTCCATACGAGATGCATCAAGAACAAATTGTTGTCCTTTATAATGTCAGAAACATAAAAGGCACCATAATAGAATGTTTAGAAAAACCTCAGTTTATGCCATTATATTTTGATTTAAAAGTGTAAGAATTGCTGTCCCGACTTAAAACAAAAAGCCTTTCACACCTGTAAATTATCATTAGAAACATGTAAACCTTTACATTTTTTTTTTCCAGAAGTATCAGGTGCAAATGCAAGGCAAATATAAAATCTATTGACTTATTAGATTACAAATACTACCCCATGAAAAAGCTGTAGTTACAAAAATATAAAAAAATATTCTAATTCCCATTGTTAGATCTTTGTGTCAATCTACACCGCATTACGAGTCCAAAGCCAGATCTGATTTGGACACATTCCTAGAATAGGAAAGTGCTGTTTGTCTTATTTTTGCATCAATATTCTGATCTCCTACTACAGTTTTGCTTTCTGGATTTGTTGTATTAGTGCATATTAAGGGTGCCAAGTGAGAGTGCTAACAGATAAAAGGTTGTATTTATCAATGGATAGTAGCAACGGAAGTGTTCTCAGTCTGCTGGCCTCCGAGAAGTCCATTTCTCAAAGGAGAAAAGTACACGTTTTTTTCTCCAAGCCTCCATAATAAGCAGCGTGCTGTTTTCATTTATGAACCTGTGACCACTGGCAGATGACTGAGAAGTACTAAAGTCTTCTCACAGACTTCAGTAAGGAACTGTGAGAAGTACACCAACTGCTAATGCTATGTCATAGACTAGTAGCTGCTGTTGCCAGGACAATTACTGGTGACATCTCTTGTCTTCCACACATAAGAGATTGGCACATGCTTTATCCATATGGTGATTCTCTAGCCCTTGGCTTTAGTAACCTGGATCAGCATAGGATGTTGAACCAGCTACAAAGGCAGCCTAACAAAGTGCTAGTAGACATTAAAATGAGTTTACTTCTAAATAATAACTTAACATGAATGACTCAATTAAATGAGATATTCTTAATGAATAAACTTTGTTAATGCTGAGCCTAAGCTTGACAAATGCTAACGCTTTCATGGCTGAATACTGGAAGCTGGGTTCCTTCAGACCTTTATCAGTGCTAGCAGAAGGTGTCTAGCTTCCAACTCTAGAGACACAGAAGCCTTCTTTCGTTGTGCAAAGAAACTGGCATAGATTAGTAGAGTAATGCAGCTGTACTCCTAGATAGCAACCTGGTTTAGCTGGGTTTCAGTAAGCACTCAGGATCATTCAGCCAGCAGTATGACTGTGGAAGATTTAAGAGTGAGCTGTGCTATCGTTATCTTTATGCTTTGTGCAAGACATTTTCCTTTAAATACCTTTTCCTTCACTGGAAACCACCCCCAGCATTTCCCCAGCTAACAACATTGCTTAGTCCTTGCCAGTTCAAGCTGGATTCTGGCCAGTTAACGGGTCTCTCAGTCATGTGGTTCCAAACAAATGTTCTCCATAGATAAGCGATTCTGAAATAGTGTTGTATTTTACCCTGCTTGAAAGGATTGACAGTACTCACATCTGCTTTGAAACAGTAATTTACTGTGTTCCATGGATATAAAAGATGTGAGTTAACAGGAGACTCATGGAGATGTTATGAGAGGAAGTGTTCAGTGCTCTTATCTTATGCTGAGATAATGTGTTGAATAGCACATGTATAAGCAGCTAATATTCCTCCTTATGCTTCAGTTTCCTAAAAATAGGGTTCAAGCAGACACCACGTTCAGTCCTCTGATCAAAACCATATATTCCACTCAGATTATGCTGTGATGGCAGGATTTCTTTTTAACAGAAGTTCAAAGTATCTGTGCATATCTGCCAATTATTATTTTTTTAAAATAACCACGCTGTACCTACATTCTTAATCAGATCTGGAGAACACTTCATACTTAACAACAACAACAACAACAGATCAAACCAAACAATACCTATAATGTAGGCTTTTGAATTTTTGTTTAGTAGAATTTTAAGACGGGAAACGTGTTCCTAGCTGAACAATCGCTTTTTACATTTCTGGTTTGTAAAAAAACCCCACATAACAGTAGTAATTTTAATGAGCAACTCCCTTTCCCAACCTATTGAGTCAAAAGTTCACAAATGTAACTTCCAATCAAGGCACAAAATCATTTACTGACTCTTTCTTCTCACCACTTTCTTCACATTCTCCCCTTCCCCTTAAAAAAAAGTTGGTATAACAATGTCTTCTATAGCAGACATTAAATTTAATAGTCCAGTAAGTTGTAGCAGTATCTGCAATTGGTTCTATCTATTTTGAATTTAGTTAAATTAGATGAACAGCACATTCTCAGCACATCTTTGTTCATTTTCTGCATTCACCTTGAAGGGGAGGGGATGAGGGGAAAAAGCCACAGTAGTTTCATGCATATTTTTCAAGAAACTTTATGTGGAAGTCTTTCACTTTCTCCAGTAGGATCTTCAGCTTCTCTACTGGAGGAAGAATGGTCATTCTGAAAAATAATATTTAAAGGAAGAAAAAAAACCCCCCACATTATCTTCAAAACAAACTAAACTGTGATCTTTGCACAGATCTTGATTAATCTCAGAGCACAGCTAGTAATATGTTAAGTTTAATATCTGTTTTGATGCGATTCTGTTATTTTCTGCATTTATGCTTTAATTGAACTATACTATTAAACTAGAATAATTTGTTTCAATTGGTTAATATATAGGAATTCAAGAATTGTTATTTTCTTTTGAGTGATAAAGAAGGTTATCAGGTAGAAATAACAGCAACTCAGTTTCCATTTATAGGGCAGTTATACCAAATTATACCCATTTTTTTGAGCTTTAAGGGTGGGCAGTTATGAGTAAAAGTACATTTCATTTTGAATTGAAAACTTAAATCAGAAGCATTAAAACAATGCAACATCCCACACTGCAGTTTTTAGCCCCTTTTTTCCTTCTTCTGCATAATCTGAAAATCACACTGAGTATGTATGCAAAACCAGAACAAAATGTTTTCCCACACTGGTATGGGAACAGACTCACACTAGCTTTTTCCTGGAGCTGCATGCACCCAGATATCTAACCCAGCTACCTGTGATTCAGAACTATCTTGGCTAAAAGTACCCTCTGTTATGTTGCTTCAGACCAAACAAGACTAAATTCCATGATAAGTTCTAGCTATCAGTGCCTTGGCTGGACTGAAGTGCTGTTTATTGGAAGCAAAAGCAATAAAGTTTATGTTCACAGTTTTGGTATTAGAAGATTTAGTCCAACATCTTCTTCTGGTAAAGTGAAGAGTTATTCAGCATGTTTAAGGAGCAGATTTATAAGGAAGACACTGCATCTTTCATGCAGTTTCTCCATGTGGAAACACTGTTTAATCCTCCCTCCCCCCCAGAAGAAAGCAAGGCAATTTTTGTAATGCCTTAGACAACTTTAAGATTAGAGTATATGCTATTATTATTGTTTGTATTCGTGGAGAAGGCATTTCAAACATCAGTGTATAAAAATAGAATAAAACTATGTCAGCAAGCTATGAAAACACGATAAAAACCTGAACAGCTCATCTCACAGACCAGGTCTTTAACCTAGCTGTCAGTCCATAGAAAATGTCCACTAGAAAGTGAGGCAACATAAACTGAAATAAAAATCCTTATATTCAATCAAAAGAGAACGTACTGGGATGGCACTTAGCTTATTGCAGTTCATTTGATGTTAAACAAACAGAAACTGTACCTGAAATGGTAGCTTCCTTCTCTTTGGCCGAATCCACTTCCAGGTACAACACATATTCCGGTCTCTTCCAGAAGTTTCATGCAATAGAACATATCAGGTGCCATTTTATGAGCCTAGGGGAATGGATGCTTTGAAATTATTGAAGTCAAAATATTCCAAATATATAGAATTTCATGATTGCTTTTCTTCCTGAAACCTTATCTTACATTATTAGTTTCTTACTCTGTTTACTAATGAAGAAGAAGAACAATTGCTAATGGGAGAGTTCACACTGTGAATTAAATAACAGTACTTCATGGAGGAACAAGCCTGAAGAACCTACACAAAACACTCGCTTCAAAACAAAATTTTTAGATACTTTTGTTTTTCTCCTTGACTTGCTTGTAACTTTTTGTCAAAAGTCTCAAAATTGTACTTATAAAAATCTAAGCCACTGACATTTGACAAGATTAAATTAATTTGAGAGCTGTGTGTTCCAGTTCCGTTTGCAGTTACTATTTTTTGCCCCTGAATTATCTGCTGACTAGAAAGTCCCCTGATTAATAACAGCTATGGAAGTTCTTAAATATATGCCTAATCAAATAATCAGCTGAAAAACAGCCCTATTTTTGTCCTCAGCTATGCTGATAAAATTCCCTTTAAAAAATTAACATTACACATTAGGTAAAAGAGCTCTAGTTGGGAACAAAAAGACTTTTCATTTAGTAATACAGCTTACTGACCCAAATACAAAAAGGTATTGTACAGAAGTAAAATCTGTAAGGAAGCCTCCCTCCCTCTTTCCCACACTTGCTGAACGGGGCTCCTTTTGTGGGGTCAGTAGCACGCTGCCATTCGCAGTCCCTGTCACACCTGCTGGCCGCTCTAACCCGGGCACAGCCAGCAATTTGGAATTTGCACAGGTCCCACTTCTTGCCCACCCTATCTATGCCTTAATCTATTTAACACTAACGTCCTTGGGTAACATTCTCAATCTAGAAGCCTTACCACTGTGATTAAATGCTCTGTTTTGGTTTCCTCTCTTAAAATAAAGGTCATGTTATATTTATGATCATATGTAGTCACAATGAAGTACTGCTTTTGTGACTACATGAGCTTACTCTATCTCTGGGATAAAAATTCATCATTACAAGTGGCAGGCACAAGTGTGTGAAAGTTAAAATGGATTGGGGTAAAAATGACTGACTGACCTTTGCTTCCTCAATGGCTTTGGAAGGAATAAAGATCCGTGGGAAGGCATACATAGCTCCTTGAAGTGGATTGCAGTGAATTCCTGGCACCTTGTTAAACATGTCTTCTGTTAGTTTGGCTTTTTTGGCAAGGTTGTTCAAAACCGACTCCTTCTCCTGTTTAAGAGGAAGGTGTTCATTTTGACATATTTGAAGTGTCCATAAAAACACCAGAAAAAACTATGATGCTTCAAGAAGCCTTCCCTGAATTAAGCAATTTTAGAGCTTTGCCAAGCTATTAGAGCAAATTATGTTCCTAATTCCAGTCATACTCTCAAAGACAGCAATGCAAAAAGGCATTAGCAGGATACAACTACAAAGTGTTGCAGATAGAGAATAACCTGCAGAAATCTCTATCTGTGTGCCCTCTTCTTACATTCTTCCTTCTGAGCATCCACTCTTGGCTATTTTTAGAGACCGTGTTAGCTGAACCTTTGATCTGACTCAATACTGTAATTTCTTAATCCAGATTCAGTTTCATTTTTACAAGGGAGAAACTGTATGTATATTTCAATACAGAATACCGTGTTCTTCAGTATATAGAGACACTGGATACCTAAAACAAGGCTGATTTTATAACTGTATTTGAACTTATATTCCTGTTTAGATTTTACTGAAAGCAAATCTTATTTAGTAATTCTTTTGTCATGCTAAACATGGGAGAAAAGTTGAATTTATCAAGAAGAAAGCTGATTTGAGAATGCTGCCTTAGCTTTTTTTGGGTCCTAAACAAAGGAATCATAAAAGGAATAAAAATTATTTTTAAAGGTAGTCATATTGAGTTAATTTAAAATACCCTACACAATTCTGTAAATCGGTGTTATCACAGGATTGTCCAAGAAGAAAGGAAAGAAGTCTGCTCTCTGTGCGTATTTTGAGTTCACAATACTTAGAAGAGGTTTAGGAAATGCACAAAAGAACAAGCGTGTTATTGCTGACCTTTATGAACTGGGAATAAGATTCTTCTCCAGGTATTGGAGGATTCACTACAATATCCATTGCTGCTTGTCCTGAGACGGGAGGACAAAGGCGAACAGAAAGCAGTTTAACAAGCTGTCCTTTAATTTCTGGGTGCAAGTTAATGACCTCCATGTAACCTCCTCTGTAGCCACATCTGTGATTAAAGTGAACAGAAAAGGTTGCTTAACCTCAAGTGTATAAATTCTGGAAAAGCAATGAAAATAACTGCAGAAGTGGAAAGACAAATAGTGAGGGTCTTACAATATGTTAACATACAGGTTGCTGAAACAGTTGCTGTACTGATACTGTTTTCAGATGGAACTAAATGACAGGTTGTTAAGCCCTAGTATCCCATACAGAGAGAACTGTGTACATGCAGCTTCCCTGTTATGCAAGTTAATGATTAACGTGGATTGCTTGCTCTTCAGAACAAGATCATATGGCTGAAGCAGCATTCATGTAATCAGAATTATTTTTTTTTCTTCCATCTTTTCCTCCCCAAAACAACCAAACCCAAAAATTTGTAATATCAAACATCCCAGTGATTCTTGAGCAGTTCCTTTGAATTTGGAGACTGCATTTTCCTTTATCACAGGTCTGGTTTAGGATTTCACCTTTATGGAATTGAGGCCTTAGGCATCTGAAATAAATACACTTATTATTTGGTACTTTGAAAACCACTAAGCTAATCCATTACATTTAAATGCTTGTTTTCCTTTTCTTGATAGTTTTTAATTAAAATTAATAGAAGACAGTGGCCTTCAGGTCACTAACATGAAACAGCTATCCAACCAGATTAATGAGGAAGATGAAATAAAAAAAACTAAAGCAGACTTACTCGCCCATGTATCCCTTAGAGGTGGAGTGAAAAGAGGCCAGCTCAACATTGTTATAGTACTCGGGTCCCATCTCATACAGAATCTTTTTGAAAGAATGAAACTGGCATCCTTCAGAGTACACATTGTCCTGGTAAACCTGAAGAGTCAGAAGACGTTAATGTGCTCTGTTCCCCCAACTAAGGATAAAAGACGGCCTTTTAGAAAGCCAGATCTGAGCTGAAGAGCAGTGGTAACACTCAAATCCCTTGGAAGACACAAGATTCTTTGTTAAGTAGTAGTTACTCTAATGATACATTTTATCTCATGTGGTCATATTTTGTAGTTTAACCTTTGGAAGGACAGTGAGTTTCATTGTATAATTTAACCTTTACTTGGATGATTAAATTGATTTTCCTTCTATTTCTCTCATTTGAAGTGGTCTGAGTATCACACAGGTTTTTAGGTCAGTTCCAGCAAAGTTCCTCCTTGTGTCTCCTTGCTTGTCCCCCCTACGCTTTCTCTCTAGTTCAAATCCAGATCGAGCCACCTCTCATATTAATCCTCTGATACTAAGGATCTTGCATGTTTGTTCATGTCTTAATATGATAACAGAGAATCTGTACCCTGTACTTAAAAAATACCAATACCACACATGGAACAAAATTACACCTCATATGCATACTCTTAGCTGTGCTTTTGAGAGAACAAAATATTCCTTTACCTCATCAGCCAGAAGAAAAAGTTTCTCTTCCCAAGCAAAGTGTATCACATCTTCAATGCACTTTCTGCTTTGCACCTGTCCTATAGTTTGATTTTTAAAGCAAGAAGAAAGTTAGTGGAGCATATATATACAAATCTTTTCACACAGACCTAGTTAGACTACCAGCTTTTCAACAAGATATCCTTCTTTCTCAGAAAAGTGCTTTTGAATTTTAGAATTCAATTCACTAAGTGTGAAATTAAGGAACATTTTTGGAGGAATTATGGTTCAAGGCAACTTAGTCCATCTCAAGCACACCAAGTGTGAGATATACCAGTCAATAACTCATGAAGAGTACTCTGTGTGTAACTGGTCATTTGAAACACTCACATGCATGATGGTTAAGTGGGAGCTAGTTTCTCATTAATCAACCTCATCTACTCAAAAAAATAAATTCTTCTGAGGGAGGTAGTGGTTGCTAATGAGTTCAGAGTGTATCTGTAGTCATTGCCTCTCAGAGGCAAGAGGCCATATCAGAAATGTCTATCTACAGGCCATATCAGAGATGTCATATCTACAGGCCATATCAGAGATGATCTTTGATAAAAAGACTAAAAGTGACTGAAAGTCATTCCAAAAGACTAAAAGTGACTGAAAGTCATTCCACAAGTTTGCAGAAGTTCAGTGGATGCACTGGCTTCACATGGGATCCAGTGAAGTGAACCTGCTCCCTTCTTTCTTCCCAAATCCCTGGAGTTCCATGATACTGAAAATAAGTTTCTAAAAGTATGACATACTGTCCTACTTAGAGCACTGATCCCTAGAATTCAGCTTTACATATTCCATATGTATTTAGGATTTGCTTGCAATGTCAAGTGAATGAAAGAGGGGGAAAAAAATTAGTCTTAAAACCCATCCGTTAAACAGAACTGCAGGAGACCTGTGGGATTTCCAGGGTTGATGATACAGAGGACTTTGGGATTGCAATATGCCTTGGCTTCATTCAAGGAACGGCGAAGTTCATTCACATCTAGAGCCCAGCAATTTTCTTCATCCAAATAGTAGTTCACCTGGATAGCATCTAGTTCAGATATGGCTGCTGAATATAAGGGATATTGTGGTATAGGGATCATCACTCCTGTTCGGGATTTTCCACCTCCTGAGACCAAGATCTTTAAAATTGTCTGGGGAAAAAAAAAAAAAAAAAAAAAAAAAATCACACACCAGAATTAATAGTATACTCTAGAATAAGTTACTGATCTTCCTTCTTAAAAAATCTACAGTTAGAGTTAAGGTAGATTTCTATTCTAAAAGCATACAGTCATTTTCTCATATCAAAGGGCATTTATTTATTTCAAGTGAAGTTACTGGCTGAGTGAGGATAGTCTAACTCAGCTTAATGGAATTCCTCTGCGTGTCTTCTTGGCTTCTGAAGATCACATCTGATCAGCTGCAAAATTTAGGAAAAACATTCTGAGTACAAGGCTAGGGGGAAAGTTGGAAACAGGACTATCAAAATAATGATTTTTCTACTGTGGCCAGTTATAAGCAGAGAAGCCTCAGCTAGTTGTTGCTTGTTGCCTTCCACTCATTTTAGCTCAGTAAACACAAGAGGCTAATAAATAAAACCAGAAATTAGAACTGGGGCCTGTGGAGGTTCTTTGTAACAGAGACCTGGTTTAGATTAGCAGCAATTGTGGCCACGTGGGAACAAAGCTAGAGACTAGCATTATGGTTTCAATTTCAAGTAACAGAAGAGACCAAAAGTCTGCATGTCTTGGGATGGAATTATAATATATCATATGTACTTTATGCCCAAAAGATGCAGACAGAAATGTCATGCTTGTGCTAAGGTTAGTCCAGAGCATTTACCAGTGCCCAGCTGCTGGGTGTCTGTGTGTGTCTGTGTAGGCTTTTTACATGTGAATTAAATGGAAGAGTGTATTTGCTACAGGAAGCGGAGAGATTTCTTGCCTTTATAATCAAGGGAGATCTCTAAAGTACATGTGCAATCAAAGCAGAAATCCTTATCGACATGTAATTGTTAGTGTAAAACCAAAAATATCTCTTCAGATATAACAGCAGTATCCTTTAAGTTTCTTGTTGGTCCTAGAACAAAATCTGTAAATCTGTATTTCTGTGCCTCTCATCATATGCTAACTCAGCTGCTAAGCTAATGATTTATAATCAACATAATTTTATACCCACCACTAGTTTAAAATACCAAGCATCCAAAATGTATAATCACAACCAAATGCACTTTTAAAAACTCTTTAACACTCTCTGTCCCCCAGGTTATGAAACAATAGTTGTTTTATCCTTGGAGGTGCCAAATAATGAGACTCATTGTACTGCTGAGTTTTCATCAGTGGTGAAATCAAATAACTATGGTACAGATTTGATATGCTATGCTGCCATTCCTGACAAGCTGCCAGTATAACACTGGGCATCATAAACTCTGGAAAGCCTATTCACTAAAGACATCTGGAGAACTGTTCATGTCAGACATTGTCATTCTGAACTGTGCCACTAGATGTCATCTCAAAGGCTGCCTTAAGAAAAGCAAAGAACTCTTGGTTGTTGTGATATCCATAAATGTGTCTGTGTAAAGGAAAAATCGACACAGTTATTCCTGTCTTAACTGAGGACCACCTTTGAACTGTGGTTGAAGCCAAAACCTGAAGCTTTTCCCAAACAACCTGGCTACTGAAATAGATCTTTGGGATTTTCACTGCCATGAATCTGCACTAGCAGAGAGTTTACTAGGAAGAATTGCTGCTGAGACTTCTCATGTCTGAGGTCATTCCCTCTTCTCTCTGCTACTGATTTATACCCTCTAATCTTCAGTTCTTACGTATCTTAACCACTGAGGACACCACTGTTTAGTTTGAATGGCCTGAATCTCCTAGATTTATATTTAGGCACCTATGTAGTTTACACTACTTTACATAAGGTACAAGTTAATGTATATTAAAAGACTCTCTCCATGTGCCTGTTTCTTAGCTGGCATCTTACATCCACATAATTGGGTGTATTGGATATCCACTTAATGTGACTTCAGTATCTGTTAGATCAGATACTCACAGAAGTTTGTGACACCAGATGTTCCACAGAGATCTGTATTTCGAAAGGTAACTGATAAATTATTGTTTACACCAAGAAGAGACAGGCTTTATTTTAACACTTACAGCAATACCATCACTTGCCCCAGTGGTAAGATATATGTTATCTGGATCTGCAGGAACCCCTCCATCTCTTCTTTCAATATATGAAGCAACATCTTCACGGATGCAATTTATACCTTGACTGGCACTGTAAGATCCTGTGAAAAATAAAGAATGAGATAAGAATTAAGTGCAATGAACATCAGATTGTCTGTTTTTTTGTATGAAGTAGTTTGTATATATGAGGGTTTTGGATCCCCAGGATTGTCTGGTTTTTGTGGGTTTCTTGTTTTGTTTTGTTTTTTCCAAGGAGTAGGAAAGGGAGTTGGTTTGTCCATAGAGCAAAATAATTTCTTTGGAATTAGACAAATATAATAAGTATCACTAAAATACAAAAATAATATACCAGATTAGTAAAAAGTAGGATTTAAAGGCTACTCTGCAAACTGGGACAGCAGTCCCATTTTTACTATCTCCCAGTTGCTTTCTTTATGTTGAAAACCACTTCAGAGTGTAAACCAGGAGCTATTTAAGTAATGAGAACAAAGAACAGAGGTAGCACGTGCAATAGAAAGGAAAAGAACTTCTTCAAATCCATGACAAAAATAAGATTTCTATTTGCAATATGAAAATAATATAATACCATTTTCTCCCACAGTCTGAAACCCTCAAAATTCTAAAGTGCTTCTCTCTCCCCCCCACAGCATCTACCACAACTGCTTTTCAGTTATTTTTAGCAGAAAGATCTAGGATCACCCCAATCTATAAGCCTCGTGCAGTTTTCAGAGCACAACTAATAATCTTAAATAAAATAAGAAGTTAGATGCCTGTGTGCATCATTGTTGAGTGTGTGCAACAAATAAAGAGCAAAAATAAGCCTAAGCCAAGGTGAGGAATGGATTCAAGCTGTGAAGCCTAAGACTGATGGACAATGAAGTGACAAGTGTACATCTAATTTAGAAAACTGTCATGAAGCTGCAGAATCTTCTTTGCTTGTTGGTTGGAGTGGAATAATTGTGCCTGACTTAACTCTCACTCAGTTATATACTAGTAGTCTGCCCGAGAATACTTCTGTGAAAGCATAACTCATAAAGACGAAGAGCCTTTGCAAGTACTGCACAATGGCATGGGATGAAATGGTAATTCAGGACACAAAGTTCTCTCATGTCCTAAATGTTTACTTTTACAGGACTAAAAGTTGCATTTGGTCTATATAGGGGTCTTTGACCACAGTTAGGAAGCTGCTGTTAAAGTAGGATAAAAAACCTAAGCTGTCATTCTGTCTTGTGGTCCATTAAGGGATGAGTCCCATGACTCAATGAGGACATACAGAAAACCTGAATTCAATTTTCAGGTCTTCTACACTTAATCATACTCAATTGATAGCTTTGACTAGAACCCATCTGTTTGCACTGTGGGATGCAAATAAATAAACCCAACCCAAAAAGCTGCATGTGCATGTATTAGATATTTTTATATATAGCAGAGGGGTAAATTTCTCAACTGCCTGGAAAGATATGACAGTTTTCCCACATGCAAAGTAAGTGATGTCAAAGGAATCACAGAGTATTTGAACACAACACAAGTTGAGGATGTATCTGAGCCTTCATATGTGGTCTGGAAGTAGCAATATTCAATACTATGAGTAGGATTTTGCCAAATGAATGTTCATTGGAAGTGAGGTTATTCTCGTTCATATCCGGAGGTCAAGACATTCATATTAACTTTGCAATGAATACATTTAAATAGGCTGGTATAGATGTGGGTGCAGCGCTTCCAATATCTTCACCATATGTAGTGAAGCTATTTCTGTGTTGGACTGACAAATTCTTTGAAAATAAGGTTTTATTAGAACACAACACAGCACTTAAAGTTACATTGAGGGATCAGTTTTTGACCTTTCCTTTTCCCAAAAAAGCCATTTTCTTCTCAGCCATGAAGAGAACAGCAGTAAGCTGTCAGACTATCAACAAAGTGATAGGAGTAGCTTCCATTCAGCTACTTGCCTCACCAGACTGCATTTTATGGAGTGCTGTGCAGAGGCTAATGAGCAACTGAGGCCAAGAGAAGGAGCTGATATATGATGGTGGAAACAGGGAGGGTGCAGAGAAGGCATAAACCAGTACAGCAGATCAGTAAAGTCTACAGTGGTTTTAGTTTTCAGGAATTTAGAGGGACAATTGTTCTTGGTAAATACCATATCAGGAAGAAAATAATTTAGACTCCAGTTACTTACAGAACTTCAATTTTTCCACTGAAATTAAAGGGCTGTATTCAGAATGATCATCTTATTTGAATATTGCAACTGTTTCAGGCCTACTTTCTCAGTGTCTACTGAGCTAACACAAATTACTTGAAATATGTGATCTTTTGCTGAAAAGGGGATTTTGTACAGTCAACATATTTCTGAAATATCATGCAAGGCTGAATTCCTTTCACTCCAGCATGGGGCCAAGACTCAGCATTCTGAGAACTCTTACCATGTTCCTGAATTTGAAAATCATTACAAAGAAAGATTGAGGGAAAATTCAAATGTGTCCCCAGTAGCTCTTACATGGCAACTAGTAGTATGTGGATTAATCATTCCAAAGTAAGCCAGGAGAGGAATTTGTGGAGCTAGAGAAACTTCTCAGTTTTGATAAATTTATTTTTCAATGTTCTACATACAGGAACAAAACCAATGCAAAAAAGGTGAAGATTAAATACATTCTGTATTAGGCTGTATAATTAGGAATAGTCCAAGGCTGAAGTACTGCTAATGTAATGACTATTTACGTTTTGTTTATTTTATTTTCACAGCATCTACTCTCAAAATATGCCAGTGCAAATAGGCACTGCAATCACAAAGGTTAAGAAACATGCCAATGAGTCTGATACATACTCTGAAATGTCACTGTTAGCCTACCTGAAAAAAGGTAATTAAGTGAGCCAGGTTCTTTGCCATACCCAGCAGCTGTAACATTATCTGCAGAGTAGAAATTCTAGTGGCATTTCCCAGGTACAAGTAGGCAGTACAGTTGCTAAATTATAAATAATTTGTCTCTTCTATTTCCTCTCTACTGAATATGCAAAGTTTGTACTTACTTATATGTGTATTTTACATATACACTTGCAGGAACAGTAGTTGAATAACAAGAGTTCTTTAGTTCTTTCAAGGGTTTATTTTACCTTGGAGAAATAGGGCTTTGACAGCTTCAGTTAAAACTATCTTGGCTAAGTAAAAAACTACCACCTTTCAGCTGTGTAGCCTTCCCTTTGCAGCTTTCCCTTATCACCTTGGTACCTGAGTTTCTGATAACCCAGTTCATATCCTGACTAACATACTTGGACAGATGGTTCAAAATTAAGATAGAGGACTGTGAACTGGATCATCTGAGATGGACATATATTGTTTGTTCATACCATCATTACAGGGACAGTAGACTCCTTGGCAGAGAAACATCTAGAGATGATAAAATTGTAAGTAGCCCCATCTAGACTTAGCAGGAGACATAGCCACCAGAACGCAGGATTAACAGGTATCATAAGAACAGTAACAAAGCTTCACTAGTGCTGTCTGCCACCTATTTTTCTAATACAAAAAAGTTCAGCATTTTGTTGAGGGTTATGCCTAGATGTTATTGTGGGGAGTGCTCCGTAACTGTGTAATCCTCATCTTGTCCTCTTCCGTGATAGGTCTCATCAAAAATTTGCACTATTAGTCACTCCTTATCAGCAGGCCACACCATGAACTCCCCCCCTATCATTTTGCCTCTCATTTGACTTGTGATCATATAAAACACAATTAAGAAATGTCAGCACTGTAGATACTGAAACTACCTTTGTTGATTCTAATACCAACAGGAGCAGCTGAAACAGACGCTTACCTAAGCTGTTTCCTCCACAACCCTGCAAGATCCGTCTGGCTCGCTTTTTGGCATCTTCTGGAAAACTTGGGCTGTCCAACAGGTTTGGGTAAGTACACAGTGCCACTACCTGGAGTGCCAAGAAAATGTAAATTGGCCGCTTCTCAATGGTTATTTTAAGCTGGTAATATTCTGTTAACTTTCTGTGGAAATGAAGATCACAAATACTAGCTAATTTAAAACAAAAGTTATTGATTAAGAGTTTGCAGTTGTTTTTTTAAGGCTTGTGCTTACAGAAGTAAATAAATTTTATCGGGTTCCAAGTTCTGCTGATAAAAACAATTATAGAATTATTAACTATTTGTATTACAGACAGTGAAGACTGGAGTCCAAGTGAGCTATGCGTAGTGCAAACACAGCAAGACACAGTTAATTATTCGTAGGTTATCTCTAAACAGCTCTATCCTCCACTCTTTGTGTATCACTAGCCCACTTTATTGACAAGAAATCAAGAATTTAAATATGGAGCAGAACTGAGAAATATGATCAAATTTTGAAGTCCCAGTTGCATGTTCTAATAATCCTTCCCAAAAATAACCTATAGTTATTATTAATTTGAATTTAGAAGCAAGGTATAGGACTTCATCTCAGAAATCAAAATTTATGAAAGAACTATTTTAAATCTAAGTGCATCTAGGGAATCATTTGTACTAATATACACATCAGACAGATTTCAAGGCATTCCTGGTAATCTAATAAAAAATCAAGAATAATATTTTATAATATTCTTACCTGACGGAGGAAGGTGATTGGCCTCTGTCCCATTGCATGTGCATCTCCAATGTTGGCTTTAATTACTTCAGTAAAGGGTTTTTTGATTCCCTAAAAAGAGATAGTTCACAACATATTGTTAGGGCTGAAGTAGATGATAAAAAACTCCTCTTTTTTGGTTCCTGTCATATGTCTGTAAACAGTGCCTAACCTCAGAACACATTCAATGTTTTAATGTAAAGCTTAATGCATTTCTTATACATAATGCCAGTAAATCTTAAATGCTTTACAGAAATTATGCTGACTGTGACACATTTTTAAATTATAGGCTAGCTTTTTTTTTCTGCTAGGTACAAGTAAGAGATTGACTTGCCTGGAAGCTGCACATTGAAGTAGAAATGATGAAAAAGAGGCATTTTGAATTGTCAGTATCAGAGCAACTTGTTTGATAAGGGAGGGATGGATCAGTCAAGAAGCTAAAAAGATTGGAGGACGTTTGAGAAATTCACCAAAAAAAAAAAGAAACCTCAAGACATTTAGTACTTTTTAGAGTAAAAAGAGTAAAGATACTGCTTGCTAACTTATTTTCTATTTAGATTAAATATTCATTGTGTGACGACCCCACTTTTCCATATACAGATGTTATAAAAAGTACATCATAGTGAGGCTCTATATGATAAACAGCAGAAGTGCTAAATAATCACTATGAATATTTAAAAGCTTTCTAATCTCTGTAATCTGAACAGCCAGCCATTTTTCCTGTGAGGAACCAAATACATCATGAGAACAGAGGGAAGACAGTTGATGAATGTTGATTAGCAATCACATTTCTTTAAAAAGCAAAATAAAATAAGGGAAGAAAGCCAAGAAACTGACTGGTAGAAAAAAACACCACTGATTCAAATAAAAAAGATTAACTGAAAGTAAAGGCCAACTTTACAAGAAAAATAAATTAGGTAGGCAAGAACAAATTTATAACTTTTCTAATGTATATTAGAGTATGAGAGATAATAGGGAGGCCTTCTAACAGTGACAGAATTTTAATGTGGACTAATGAACTGCAAAATTAGACCAACTGGTTTTCTGCACAAAATTACATATAACAACCTGCTCTGGCTGTGGACTGAACTCACAAAGCCTCTTCCTGGCCCAAGTATTTACAGCAAATTATTGGCTTTGGATATAGAGTATACGGCTGGCAAGCCTTAACTAATTGTTGCTTTTTTACCATGGATTATGTGTTGGTCTTAAGTGACAGACGGGAACCCAGATGTGCAAAGACAGCACCAACCAAAATATTACTTTGTCACCAGGGATACAAATTCTCAGGTGGGCCAAGATTTGGAGGTTTACAGCTGTGTAATGTGGCTGAGAGGTTATGTAATAATGTGATTCAAAGCCCCACTACAGATCCAGTCCATCATATAACTGATAGCATTTAGGTTTTTCTTTTGAAGTTAAATAGGTAGTTAGAAATGGTATTAAAACAAGACAATTGGACTTACGTGCTCCTGACTCAAAAGGGTCAATTTTATATGGCCTTAAATTTATCGGGAATTTAAAAAAATATTCACCTAAAATAACTGAAAGTGACGCACTGACTCCATCAAGTCATTTGCTTTTATGTTTGCTGATCTAAGTGAGTGCCTAAATAAGAGTTGTATTTCAACGTGAAGTATAGAATTAGGAATAGAGATGTGTGGTAGTTCCACTGGGCTAGCCCTCGGCTAGCAGCCAACACAGCCATTCACCCACTTCCCCCCCATCCCCAGGGTACAGGGGAGAGGATTGGGACAAGGTAAGGAACTCAGAGGTTGAGATAGAACAATTTAATAATAGAAATAAAAGAAAACTTAAAGTAATATTAATATTAAAGTAGTAGTGATAATGATGACAGTAACAAGATATACAAACGAGTGACACCCAGTGCCACTGCTCACCACCCACCGACCAAGCCCAGCCTATTCCCGGATAACGATCCTGGAGGAGCAACAATCCCGAACCGAAACCGCAGTCCTGGGAGAGCCAGAGCCTGAGTGAAAGTCAGAGAGAGCAAGAGAGGAAGAGCCCCTCACTGATATACTGGACATGGCGGGATATGAGATGGAATAGCCCATTGGCATATCCAAATGCCTGTTTAGCTTATTAATTGAAACATTCCTCACTCTCTTGCGCTTGTAGACTAACAAAACATGAAGTCCTTCACGTCCAGTGACAAAAATGAAAACACTGGGGTGTTATCAGTGTTTCTCTCATAGCAAATCCCAGGCTGAAAGCAAAACACAGCACTATTCTAACTACTAAAAAGAAACCCAGCTCTGTTCCAGCTAAAAACCAGGATAGGATGTGAGATAAAGATCACAGGTATCCGAGGCTGAAGTTTAGCAATTTATGAGACATGCAAGCAGCTAGAAATAGGTTCTCCTCAAACTGAGGTCCACTGATAGCACAACAGTATTTCATTCTAATTTACAAATAAGCAGGAAAAGAAAGGTACATGTAGAAGAACAAATTCAGTTTGGATGAAATTAAGAATAATTCCCACAGATTTTGGTTGCATTTGGTCCTTCTTACAGCAAACAGAATCAGTCTCACTAGATTTGCACAGTTACACAAATTTGTTAATAAATGAGGGATGCTTTAAGTTAGGCAGTCTAAAAATACATAGTTCTCAGCAATAAGATGAAACAGAAATACCCTATTTTACCAGAAGAAAAACAGAATAAATAAAACCCCTAACAACATAAATATATTATGTTAGACAAATTAGATGAGTTTTGCACACAAATACTATTGTGATCTGCAATAGAAAATAGTTGCTTCTTTGGTTAGTGAAATGCTGCATTTCATAATGTACCTTTTTATAGTGTTTTTATAGTGGTACAGCCTTTACAGCAAAGGTAACAGACCTTTTTGGTGTCTGTGTCAGGTTCATTGTAAATAATGTTGTAGCTTATTAGTATTGATACCATCCAGATCTCTGCTAGTGCCAAGTCGGTGTTTATGCCATCACTGCCTTTGGGCATCAACTGCAAGTTTATAATCATCACCTACTCCATAAACCTCACACTACCTTAGCTGCTAAAATGATTGATCTGGAGAAAATAGCAAAAATAGTTATCTTACTGTAAAATCCTGGTAGGGAAGGAACAATTAGGTTTTCTGTGTTGTACACGCTGTTCCCACATACGTGCTTAAAGGCCCATGGTCCTCTTGACTAACTTGTTGGTCTCAGCTACAAGAGCTGTTGCCCTTTTTGTCTTTCAAAAGAGAGATGCTTTTAAATAACTGGGGCCTTTGCCTTCCCTGACAATGAGTTAATATCAACAATTGCTTAGAACTGTTTTAATGAGACTCACTATATGCCCTCCTAGTGAAATCTAGAAAAAACCTGCTATGACTACTTAGGTTTTTCTCATCTTTTTCTATTACTTGATTTCCAGTCTTTCTATGGAAAGAAGGAATATCAGAAGTTGTTCAAATTCAGTTTTGATTCCTGCAGAACAAAAAGTCCTGTCTTACCATTTCAGAAAGAAGGAACAGGAAACAGTAACAGGCAAGAACAAGTGCTGAATGCTAATGAGTAAAAGTTTCAAAGCAAGAGTATCAGAAGCTGGCATCAAGGGAAGTCTAGACAGTGCCTATGACTCTGCAGATGAGTTCAAGGTGGAATTCTACTTAAATCTGTAAGACAGAGTGGCATCAGTCACTAGTTAGTTGTGTTAAGGTTTCTCCTATGGTGATGGCACTGGTGTGCATGGGTATCCAAGGGAGGATTAATGTCAAATAGTTTTGGAAGGTCTATGAGAAGATCTGTATGAAAGGAGGAAGTGTGAATGTGATGTTGATAACCTCAACATCAGGTTGTAGAACAGCAGGAAAAGTGCAGCAACAAGACATAGTTTGTGAGGACAAGATTTATTTCACTGCAGAAGGCTAAGCCGTCTTTGACCATGTCAGCAACATGCCTGTGCTGAGATAATTTAAGTCCCTGGCAAGCCAAGTAACATACAGGGGGACCAGAAACTAGGCCATTTGAATTGCTTTGCTTTTTTCTAGTGAGAGAGCTGCCCCCCCACCTCGCTTCTCTCTCATAGTCTGTCTGTCTGTCTCAGTACAGGCAGGCTTTTGAGGTGTGTTCTAGAGACAGCCCAACTGGATTGTAACTGGCCTCTGTCTGTGGCAGAGATTTGAAAAAGTGAAGCTTGCAGAACAGGAGCTCTAATAACAAACTCGGGAGCGTTAAGTACCAGATTGATATTCATGTCTACTGAAGAGGGTATGAACCACATCAAGGAGGAAAAACAATTCCCAGCCCTACAAAACAACCAGCCTTCTGCCTCACACTGTCCCAACAACATGATTCATCTTCATCTTGGGCACAAAGCCAATTTTCTGCCATTCTTTTGAAATTAGAGAGTAATTGTAGTAGCCATTTTTAAAGCTGAAGAAGCCATCTTGCACTTTCAAATTCCAATGCAGAGCAGAAAATACAAAAATATGTTCAATTTTTTTTCAATTGCTTTCTTCTTGATAATTAAAGGATTTTAATGGAATAAAGGAGTCTTCCCAGATTTGAAATAAGCTCTTTGGAAATTAGTTCCTTTAGCAGTTACTTATGTCACTCTCTTCTTCTCAGAGGAAATGCAGTCTTTTAAGAGACCAGATGAAAAGCCTCTGAAACCTGAAGCAGGTTAGAGAGGATTATTCCAATATCTGTATCAGCATTCTAAGTATCACACAAAGCTGGGAGAAGGGATTTTCATATGTGAGCCAGAATTCATTGGCGCAGAGACAATACACATCTTTATGTAGTTAGCCAGGTTTGGAGAAGCTTGCTCTTCCCCTAGATATCCCTATAGCCTCAAGAAATCCAGCAAGTAAGGAGTACAGTATGAGATGATGAGTTTTCTCTCAAGGAGAGAATCACTGTGCAAAAAGTGTTGGGAGAATTATTTGATCAAAGAAAACAATACGATGCCAGAACATGCACTATCCCCAAAAAATCAACATGAAGGCAATGCACTGCCAGGAGCCAGTTTGTCTCTTTTAGTAGTTTTAGTATGCCTGGAAGTTCCCCTTACAGTGGTGCCATCTAAGAATGT